AATACTATTATTATTTTAAAATTAAATATAAAACTTCAGATGAATAATAATAGATAAAATATCATAAAAGAAAATATTTTAGCTTCCCTTAATAAAATTATCCAAAATTTATTATATTTAGCTCATTTTTTCAAAAAAGTTTAGAAATATTATTATATTGTAATGATTTTTAAAATCGTATTATCTTTAAAAATGTTTAACTTCTAAACAGTAATATAAACACATGAATCTCCTAATTGAAACAGAATTTACTAATACTTAACAAAAAGAAATTGCTAATAATAGATAAGAATGACACCTGTATGGAACAATAAATTTTTCAAATCTTCTAAAACATCAATTTTTTTTAATGTTAATTCCAACTGGAAAGAATATGACCTTTTTTTTTCACCCTTTCATATCATACTTAATTTATTTATACAACAATTCACTACATTTTATCTCCTCACACATTATTTATCTTTTAAGCTATTATTTCTTTTTCCACACATTATTCATTAATTTCACTTCTTTATTTGTATGAAGTGTAACATCCCAACTTTTCATACTTTATATAAATAATATTTTTGAAATTATTTTAATATTTAATATAGTTATTAAAGAATTTTGATATTATTTAATTAATTATATGAGCTCTATTTTATTTATGAGACATGATTTATAATGATTATTTTGATTAGTGGTATATATAAGTAACTTTTATGAAATGTATTTGTAACGTAGTTAGTTGACTGGAATGGGGCGTTCCCAAATTGGAACGAGTCGTTCCAAACTACTAAAACAAAGGTGATTTAGTAGCCTAGAATGGACCGTTCTCAAACTGGAACAGGCCGTTCCAAACTACTAAATAGGCTTATGAATCTTGGACTGGAATGAGTCATTCCAAAATGGTCATTGCGAATTAAATTTAACTCCAAAACGTGGATGGTCCTCCATCAATTACTAGAGGGGATAGGTAGCGAGAGCAACCCCTAAATTTCTAAGATTTTCCTTTTTCTATTATATTGTCGCAATTGACTATTCAATTAGGTTGTATATTAAATTGTGAATGTATCTTATTGTATTAGTTGGTAAAATTATTGATAATCTAAAGAATAATTGAATTCATTGGAATGTCTCTAGGGTTAGGGTTCTTGAGAAGTTTGGGTATTGTTAATTGGTATGAAAATTTATGAAATCAATGTTATATAATATTTTTTTGGGTAAAAATAAGTGTTTTTGATCGATTGGATTAATAAAATGATGTTTGTATGTTTGATTACGAATTTTGGTGATGTTTTGTTTATGTTCCATTTCTAGAAAACGCATTGGACGTCGAGCTTGAGTTTGTGGCGTTGGGCTTGTATTCATACGGATGATTGTGAGACCCAGACATAGTTAAGTCAAGCGTGATTATAATTAAGCTGGGCGCAAAAATATTGTGCGCTCTCTGATGTGGCTTAGAGCCGGGCACGAAAGATGGTTGTGAATGGTATAATGTCCAGTGGTGACTATTGTATGATTAAGTATGAATGGTGTGTATTTGGATGAGTTGATGTACAAATGTGAGTGGATGTGGCCTTATATTTAATTGTGCACTAGCATGGATAGAGATGATGAATAGATTAGGTGACATGAAATAAGCATTTATGCATGTTGCATACTCATTTACCCTGGCCATAAGTGGTGATTAATAGGGTAATTTTTATACATTAGCCATAAGTGGTGATTAATAAGGAGATTTTTATACACTAGCCATAAGTGGTGATTAATAGATTGTCATTTGTCATAAGTGATGTAAACGGTGTGGCCATGCGTTGCGGTGCCTGAGGAAATTAATAAAGTTCGTCCACTGTGTTGTGCTTCGAGTTGATGCTTCTTAGGAAGTTGCATTGCATATGCATTAACGTCAGCATAAGCATGATACATGAGTTGTATGATGATATGATAGTGGTTATATTAATTGATGTTCATGAATATATAAGACAATAGTATTATTGTGATTGGTTATTTTTGAGAAACGTATGAGGGTTGGTTATATGTTTGGGTAGGATTCTTTTCTTATGTTGTACATATGAATAACCGTTTTTCTCACCTATATACATTGTGATTTTATTTTAGGTAATGAGATAAGTGATAGGTCAGTACTCAGGGTACCAAGAGTTAAAACGACAGATTTGCTCTAATAATATGACATCCGGACAATGTAATTAGAATAGGATTTTATCCTTCATATTGATTTACCTTTCCTTGCTGAAAACCTTACATCTTATAATTATTTTTGTTTGGTTGGATGATTAAAAGTGAATTACATGTAAACCTATTTTACCAAAATTATTAAATTTCTTCCTTATTTAATTATATTATTGTTGGGATAGAATGAGTACGACAAAACTCACGAACAAATAGCTAATGGTCTCGACTTGTAACAACTACAACATATAAAGTCTTATACTATATTTGAAAAAATAATATATACATATATATATAGAGAGAAATAGAAAGAGATCTTCAATGTTAAATTAAAAATTATTTATATCATTCAATTAGTAACCACTATTTAAGTGAATGTGAATATTTAACACTTTAGTAACCATTAAATTAGCATGTTTTGTTTTAATACAATTAATTTACATAATTTACATAATATATTTTTAATTTAAAATTATATATTAATTTTGCAATTCAACTCATCTATAATTTAGTTATTTTATTAATATAATATTGATTAAAATCCCAGTTATTTTGCTTTATCTTTCTTTGAAGAAAAAAAAAACTCATTTCTGTAGTTGATAACTTGAAAGCTTATGTTAAACACTTAGAAGTGAGATTTTATTTACTTAGTGGAAATCTCTAGATTTGTAAAAGGGATAGATATTGTAATTTGTGCAAACCATCTTGTTAATTAGATATGTTGTTTAAGTTATCAAAACAAGACTTGGGAGGTGTTTGGATGAGTATTTGTTGCAAGTGTGCACCCTGAGTGCATTTGTATTTGGAAACCTATGAGGAGCAGGGTTTAGTTATATGGAAAATCTCACTAGTGTAGTGACGCTATAATAAAATTAATTATTTCCGATAATTATTTATTAACAATAAATTAATTATTTTTATTTTATTATTTAATAAAATATTAATAACTAATATATAATGGCCATTAAAAATGTATTTATATTACACCAAAAATTACTATTAATGATAATTATTTATTTAAAAAAAACTTAAGTCTCACATCAACTAGAAATAAGATAATTAAAGAGTATATAAATGGATGATAACTCTCACCTTACAAGTTTGTTTTGTAGGGTTAAGTTAGACCTATAACTTACTATTTTATAATTTTAAGTTGATAAAATAATTAATTAGGAGATAAGATAATTAAAAAATATATAAATAAAAGACAATCTTCATCTTACAAGTCCTACATCGAATAGAAAGTAAAAAATGTCACAAAATAATTGCCGCTAAATATTTTAGCGACACTACATACAATAGTTATTGTGGAAATATCACTAAAAGATTTTGTAGTAATTTTTATTGTTACTAAAAATCATATTAGATGTCACTAAAAATCTATTTTGTTGTAGTGTGAGAATTGCACATAATGAACCAGTATAAATATATTATGCCTCCTCTCATGCTTTTACTCTACTACTCCTAAGTGGGTTTCTCTTATAAACACAAGTTTCTGATATAATAAGTTTTGTAGAACAATATTTCAAGTAAAGTAGTCTCATCCACTATTAATCACATCTTTGAGTTAGTAACTAATTTCATATAACAAAAGATTAAATATTTCATTCTAAGTTTACAAGACACATTTTAAACTAGTTGTTTCTTCAAAGACGAGCCAAAAAATATTTAAAACACATTTCAACGCCTTTCATGTATAATTTTATTCACTTCGGTAATTTGAATGATTTATGCGATGTAAACCATTTACTTATATGCCTACGTCTAGCAATAAGATTTTCACCTCCTAAACATTTTTGTTTATTCTCTTTTCCTATCGTTTTTTTTTTGTTAGTGCAATTCATGCCGAAAGTTAGTGATGACTATTTGTATTTGGCGAGACCGTAGAGTTATACCCATCATGGCAGTAATATATCAAGGTCATCTTGGAACTATTGAAGCTTAATGAGACTTGTTCTTATTCTTTTTTATGACACTTTTAGTTATTCTAAGTACTTCCTCATAAGAAAATGTTATTATTGTTAGATGTTTTTAACTTTAGGAAAATTGTAATTCTATTCTAAATCATTAAGTAAATCACTCACAAAAGTAAAAGATTAACTTTTATTTTTAGTACAGTGGCATTTAATATGACTTTTAGTGGCAATAAAAATTGTTACAAAATCTTTTACCGGCATTTTTACATTAGTCATTGTATAAAATATTTATTGGCAATTATTCTAAATGCTGGTAAAAATCCTTATAATGGTAGAAAAAAGTGTATAACTTTTTGTGACATTTTTTATTTTCTAATCGATGTGAGACTTGTAAGATGAGTACAAATACTCTTTAATTACTTTATCTCTAGTCGATGTGGGACTTGTAAGATGAGAATTGTCTTCTACTTATATATTCTTTTTAATTTTCTTATTTCTAGTTGATGTAGGACTTGTAAGATAAGAGTTATCTTCTACTTATATATATTTTTTAATTTTCTTATTTTTTTAATTATCTTATCAATAGTCGATCCCCTCAAGTTTAGGAATTATTGAGTTTGATAATAATGATTAATTTCATACCAACTTAGAATAGTAAGTTATAGGTCTAACTCAACCCTACAAAACAAACTTGTAAGGTAAGAGTTATCATCCATTTATATACTCTTTAATTATCTTATTTCTAGTCGATGTGAGACTAAATTTTTTTAAATAAATAATTGTCACTAATAGTAAATTTTGGTATGATGTAAATACATTTTTAGTGGCCATTATATATTAATCATTAATTCTTTTATTAAATAATAAAATAAAGACAATTAATTTATTACCGTTAAATAATTGTCGGTAATAATAGATTTTGTTGTAGTGATAATACATGTGTTACGCATGAATGTTCTCCATTATCATACAAATACTATTAAAGATATTTTTTAGAGGTTTCTCCAAGATTGATTACACCAATTGTGCTTAGTCCATTGGGGATTCACAGTAGAATTAACCCCCAACCTCCTAAATCGCTTCCAATCTTGAAGAACCATCTTCATATCAGCCATTTTTGCAGTGATGCTTCTACAACAGTTGGCATGGACGGTGATGACTTCCCTAAAATCTTTGCTATCTTCACAAAATCCACTAAAATAAAGGGTATCCAAATACCTAACTCTAAGCCTCAAATCTTTGATTATACCATTTACAAAGAGGTCCAAAAGCACATCTTGATCATTTTTTCCTGTGACATTATCCTTTTGATCATACCATGTTTCAAATAGGGAAATAGTCTTGTTATTTGACCTCACAAAGTAAAATCCAGTGTTGATTGGACTTTTTGACCAAGGATCACCAAGATATCTATCTGTACTAATTTGGAGATCTTCTGTCTCATTCTTGCTTAACCTAATAAATGGGTTTCTTAACCACATTATATCAGTGTCCTATGAGAAAAAAAATGTTACATATGAATAAGAGAAATGAAGGTTGAAAAGTAAAATTGATATAATTCTACATTTAACTATTCATTTTTTTATATGAGAAGCTAAACTTAAATTCACGCAACATTCCTTTTTACATTATCATTGGGATTATATCAATAGATTGTGAACAATTACAAGCAAATTATATTTAAGGCCTTGGATATTCTCTTTTGTTGAGTAATCATACGATCATGTTAAACAAAGAAAGATTCAACTTTTATGAAATGTAATCAGTGATTAATAAGTTTTACAGTAAACATATCAGTCTTATTTGGTAAAATTTGTGTTTTCTTCTCTCTCCAACCTAATTATATAATATTACCTAATAATAATAGTAAAATGAAAACAAAACAAGGATGGGAAAAAATCAATTAGATTTAAAGAAAAAAATGAAAAAAGAAAGTTAAAAAAAAAACTTATTTTTTATTTTCTCTTCAGTCAAATAAAAAAAATGTATCTTTTTTTATTATTTAATTAAAAAAAACATGTTTCTAATTAACGTATTTTATTTTTTCAAAATTTGATATTATATCCATCCCCAAATGTTTGTTATTAATTGTATAATAATCAAAATTTATGATAAGGAAACATTTTTTAATATGTAACTCATTTTATAATTAAAATTTGTAATAAATATCTATGAATACATAAGTTATATTTTGGAATATGAAAATTGGATGTTCAATTCAAAACTGGTTGAGAGAATATTTTTGACTAATTCTGACATTCAAAAGAAGAAAAAAGAATATTAAGAATATAAGCTAATTTTAGATCAACAATTCAATTCTGTGCACTTAAACACGAGAAAGAGCTACTGTACGAGACGAAAAATGGATGAAAAGGGTATGTACCGTGAAAACAACGTTGTAGCCACGTTTGAGAACTTTCAACACAAATTGAATCTTTATCCACGTCATTTTGATATAATCTTGAGACATGTAGATTTTCTCACCTTCAAAATCAACTCCATCTATTTCCAATTTGAAGCAATTCAACTTCAGAAATTGACACCGATCATAGGCTGTTTGATCAACTGCTCCTATCAAAAGGTGATTAACAAGAGACCTTGTTCCCTCTCCAAGCCAAAGATTACCAAGAAAAAAATCAAGCATAGTGCTATCACTCTCTACATCTTGATCTACATAGGCCTTGTTTACTACAACAATTATCACTGTTTTGTTTCTCATTGAGGCTTTAGCCAAACTAGAATCAAGGGCATCTCCATATGCTTCAATGTTGGTGGTATTCTACAATATGTATGAACAAATGAACAAAAAAATATAATCAAGAAAAAAAAAATCAAACTCCATATACACTTGATGCAATATAAGTTAAAGTCATCTATGACAATGGAGCGTTACTCTTTTGATTATATATGTAGAATTGAAATTAAATTTCAACTAGATTATGTAGAATAGTCGTGATTTCTGAAGAATACCCAAGATTCGTTTTGATGTAAGAAATAGAATATGGAAGATCTGAAACTTACAAAATTTGTTTTTTTGCAGAGTTGTTCTTTCTGGAATAAGGCTATTTCATTGGAGGAAAAAGAGGAGCAGTAGTGGTACAACAAAATAACCCCAGCGAAGAGTGATGTTGCTGCGATTGCAAAACTGCCAAATTTTTGTTTAGGATTAAACATGATTCTCTATCTCTCCGTTTCTTTGTACGAGTACACAAAACTAAATATTTGTATAGGGTTAAAGGATATATATATATATATATATTATTTGTATTATTAAAACCAATATTGGTAACAAAAGATTTATATTTAATATATTAACGTTAAATGATATTGAACTTAATTGATTATTTTAAGCAAAGTTTTAGACTCTCTTATATTTGAAAAGAAAACTGTGATTAGTCACTTTAAGTAAAGTCTCAAATAAAAATTTATCATTAACTAGTGGATATTTTATATTAATAATAAAATTAAAAAACAATTATTATACCTTAATCAAACAACTAAGCTAATATATATATATATATATATATATAGCGGAACTAATCTATCAGCTACTTGAGCCATTCAGAAAAATGGAATTACATTGGGTTTGGATGAGCGTTGCTACTTTGTTGGCTTCTTACGTTTTGGTAAACAAATTTGTGAGGAGGTTGAATGGGTGAATAAATAAATAAATAAATAAATAAATAAATATATATATATATATAATTTATATTTTAAGGATATTAAAATATTTATTATGTTTCAATATTTAAAATATTTATTTGATAAAACATCTTCAAATAAAATATTGAAATATACAATAACATAATATATGAATATGTAATAATTATTGTCTTAAGTGCTATTCTTAATAATTTTAAGGTATATTTTATTTAATAATATAATATTTAATATTACTTCTTAATTGTTTATTTATTTTGATGAACACTTGATGATTTATTTTTGTACAGGTAGGGGGGTTCGGCCACCACCCCATCGGCCGCCGAATGGCAGAACCAGGAAGCCGAATGCCAATCGGCCACCAGGATCAGCCTAACATCATTTGGTACTCTTAATCAAATATTAGAGGTTAATTAGTCGATTAAGGTGTATTACCTAATACGGTAAATATGTCGCAGGGCCCATGGGGCCCAAGGCCCATAAATATCAGTATAAATAGCTCAGGACCAAAGGTAACGTCACTGTTCATTAATTATCCTAGATATTCGTGCTTGTCCTGACTTGAGCATTGAAGTGCCTTTTGCAGGTACCAACCCCTTCACCAGCGTATTGGATCGGAGCCTTCGTTCGGCCTTTGGACTACGAGAAGACTTAGTATGCCCTTCAGACAGGTACAATTTTAGTTATGATATATTAGTTATTATATTTATTAATACTAGATTCGATACCGCACGGTTTATTTTAGTAATATTATTTTAATTTTATCAATATTAGAGAGAAAGACACATTTTCTACCTTTAAATATTTTTAAAAGTAAAATAAATAAATAAAAATATAATAGTATAAATGATTATCTCAGAGTTATTAATAATAATTATTAAAGTTAATTTTTCTAATAATCAAAGATATCAGCGTTCATAAATTATGGAGAAAAAAAATAGTTACAGAAAAAAGTATTTCTTTATATATTAATTATTTGATAAAACATCTTCAAATAAAATATTGAAATCTATAATAACATAATATATGAATATGTATTAATTATTGTCTTAAGTCCTATTCTTACTTGCTTCAAAAAAAAAATGAAGTCCTATTCTTACTAATTTTAAGGTATATCTTCTTCAATAAATATAATATTTAATATTACTTCTTGATTATTTATTTATTTTGATGAACATTAGATGATTTCTTTTATTTCACGGAAATAATTTTTATAATGTCTAACGGTTAAATTTTATAAAAATCTAATAATGATTAATAAATATTAAAATATTTTTATCCATTTTTCCCTTTTATTTTGATATATTTATTTGTTTATTATAATTATTTTCAATAACAATTTATTTTATATATAGCAGTATTACATACAGGTGAAAATTATTGGAGGAAAGAAATATTTAAAAGGAAAGTTTTAAAGAGAAAAAATTATTCCCTTTATATTATTTATTTATTTATAAATTATAGACAGATGATATGTTTATTAAATTTATATTATATTTATATAGCAGGAAAAGGTATTCTATGTCTGTATTAAAAATAATAATTATTTTTATAAATAGTTATAATAATTTCAGAGTAAAATAAAAAAAGGAAAAGAATGAGAAATTATTCATAGAAAAAGATAGTCTTAGAAAATTATGAAAAATAAATAAAGGATAAAATGATACATGTAAAAATAAAAATCAAAGGTAGTTATTGAAAGTGATATTCCTTTTACATATTAAAATAGATATATCATATAATAATACACTGATGAATTCATAAATAGATTCAAATAACATATGTCATATTGACGAGGTTTGAAATTGACACATCACATATATGTTAAAATATTAACAATTCAATAAATATATAAATTAAATTATAGAAGAATCCATCTAACATTAATGATAATATATTTTATAATAATTAACCTTTTATACGTAGACAAATCATTGTTATTTATGTTTTTTATTATAATAACTGGGGTATATGACTTTGTGCCTCGATATTAAATAAAAAAATGTTAAAAATAATAAGATGAGTGAGAGAGTAATTGTGTAAGTAACGAAAAGTTTTAATTTTATTTTTTTTTTTGCTTACATTAGAAGTTGTCATTTGCATCAAAGATTAACGATAGTTTTCATTTACATGAAAAGTTTTCAAATCTTAACTAAGACATGAGCAGTTACATAATTTGGATTGTGAGTGAGAAACGGAAATAGTTCAAGTGAAAAAATAAATAAAATAAAATAAAACCATACAAAAACCAAACAAAAAATTAAAAATAAATAATTATAATATTAAGGATATTAGTTTAACTAAATATGAAAATTAAAAGTAGTTATTGAAAAACAATTTTATTTACATAATGGTATAGATTATATAATTAAGGTAATTTTGATTAGTATCATATGTGTGTTATATAGGGTCATTAAAATGGATCGACGTGTCTTATTTGGTTTAGTCCACTTTTTAAGTGGGTTGGTCATCTCCAGTTCACCAACTTTAATGACAAAAAATTTTAATTTGGTTTAACCCACCACAAGTTGGTGGATTAAACAGGTCGGTCCATCAATCCACTTAATTTTTTTTAAAAAAATTATAATTTAAAATAAATTCTAATTTGAAATTAATTTTGATCTAAAATAAAAATTGTCAAACTAAATATCATACACATATAACAATCAAACAAAAAAAAATATTGTCATTGAAGTAGTTGTCCATCAATATTACAGTTTATTAGAGGTTTAAGTAAATAAATCTATAAGAATTTCATGTTATTTAACATCAACTTTATCTTTCTCTATAAAAAAAAATGGTACCTTGTTAGAATAATACATATATAACAATAAATGTTTAAGTGGTTCCAACTAACCCAAATTAGTTTAAGATGAAATTTTACAACATTGACGCGAAAGAAAAACTAGTATATTTTGTAAATATTAACATTTATGGAATATAAATTATTGTCAATTTTATCTTTTGATTATAAAATATATTTCTTCATACTTACTTAAAAAAATTATTTCAAATTATAAATTTAAATAAAAATATTATTAAAATTAACTTCATATCATATAATTATAAAAATTTGATTAATTTAAATATGTAACATAAAAAATTAAAACTGTCATATAATATTAAACAAACATCGGGAGTAGAAATTAACCCACTAGTTGGCGTGTCCACAATCAACTCAAAGGATAAACAAGACACAGGTAGTTTCAATTTGGACACGCAAGCATGTGATATGAAAGAGTGAGTTGCACCAGAATCATACAGAACAACTAAAGAAGTCTCATCGATGAAACACATACCCTGGATTAAGTATTCGGATTGAGCGATTTCAGCACCACTCAAGGCAAATACTTTCCCCATAGCTCTCGGTTTACTAGCACTCCCACTAGCTCCCCACCGACTCTTTCTTACTCTAGGGTAGTCACTGTGACACCCTCTATCCCCAACATACATATATAATAATAATAAAAAAAACATCTTCTTGGGTTAAATAAAATCTTTAGAATTAAAGCAATGGTTCCATTAACATAAGAGTAGAGAATTTACATTCGTAAACTTAAATCATGGTCAAATGCGGAATTTATATGAAAATGAAACATGAGTTTTTCCAAAACAAAATAATAATAATGAAATCCTAAACTAAGCCTAACTACGCCCCGATGCCACATATCCTATCAGAGCACGCCCAACTGAAGCCTAAGCCTCATCACCAACATCCTCATGTTGATGATCACTTGCAACACAATAAAATACACATAGAACAACAAGGGAGTGAGAAACATCTCACTCAGGTTCAGGTGCAAAAATAAAGGTTAGACAGCACACACACAACAAACATAATACAAGTCACAAGCACAAATCACATGTAAACAATACACATACACATCAGTATCACATGCACACTCATTTATCATGCAATGATGTCATGGACTCGACTCATAAATGCATGCATGTGGCGCCAATCACATATCACATATCACATATCACTGGTGTGCTGCCTAAACAACACACCTAAGGTAGTCTAGGAGTACATGTAGGGAGCTACCCATACACTATCAACTAGAAAGATGTATTGTTAGGGTATGGTTTGGATAGCGAAGCTGCGCAAGTTACGTCTCGTGCTCACAAACGGGCGAAATTGAGACATCCAAACCACATTATCCCCTAGGACTCCCCCAAGTTGTTACACAAGGAGGGCCTTCCCTAATGGTGTACTCCATATCGTACCCTTCACATAGATGCACATGATGCATGTCACACACATTCACACTTCATGGACTCATCACTTTACTTGTCATAGTTACTCATATATCATGTCTCATTGTCACATATCATCATATTTCATATCTCATATTCACTTTTCACATTATTTCATCATATTCACATAATCTCCAAGAGCACTCTAAATCCTATCAAAACATATTCAAACTCAAAATTAAATATACATTCATGCTCAGTAATCATCAGGAAACACAACAAAAAACTCAAAAGGTAAAATAGAAAACATTCAAAATTTTCCTGTTTCTCATAGGGTTCTCT